ATATATGTATATATATGGTGGAAACTTGAATATGTGCACTTCTTAGCCGCTTAAACATAAAATTATTTGCAGACTGTTTTGGATGTTGGATGTGGTACTGGCATACTCTCCATGTTTGCTGCTAAGGCTGGCGCTGCCAATGTCATTGCCGTAGACTGTTCCAACATTATAGAGTTCGCTCGACAAGTGATAATCGACAACAATTTACAAGATATTATTACTGTAGTCAAGGGTAAAATCGAGGAAATCGAGCTTCCGAATGGAATCGAAAAAGTTGACATTATTATTTCGGAATGGATGGGGTATGTTTAATGGTAAACTCATATGAACTGTTATTTATAATGGCTCTATTGTCAACTACAGGTACTGCCTCTTTTATGAGTCCATGCTGGATACGGTGTTGTATGCTCGCGATAAATGGTTAAAGCCCAATGGCATGATGTTCCCAGATAGGGGTACACTTTACATCACAGCTATCGAAGATCGCCAGTATAAAGACGAGAAGATCAATTGGTGGGACGATGTGTATGGCTTTGATATGAGCTGTATACGGAAGGTGGCTGTTACCGAACCACTTGTTGATGTTGTCGATCCAAAGCAAGTAGTTTCTACTGCGTGCATGGTGAAAGAGGTTGATTTGTACACAGTGCAAAAATCCGATTTGAACTTTTCTTCGAAATTCAACCTTACCATCAAGCGCAATGATTTTGTCCAAGCTTTGGTCACATACTTCAATATTGAGTTTACCAAATGTCACAAACGACTTGGGTTCAGCACATCCCCTGATTCCACATATACACATTGGAAGCAGACTGTCTTCTATTTGGATGATCACATAACTGCCAAAAAAAATGAAGAGATCAATGGAACGTTTCAAATGAAACCAAACGAACGGAACAATCGGGACTTGGACTTTGTCATCGACATCAACTTCAAGGGCGAGCTATCTGAAATCCAGGAGTCAAATACATACCGTATGCGTTAAATTCACGCCATGTTATTTATGCGGACTTAGAGCTGCTGCCTTCTTAAGCCAGAGGGAATTAAAACAAGATGACTAGACGTAAGATATAATCCAGTGCGAAATGTGCAACGAATTTGTGTTGCGTCTTCTACTAAGTTTAAAGTGTACCTTTTTAGTATACATTATATTTTTACAAGTGCGCCTGTTTAAATTATGATTCAAGAATACTTCTAAGACATTTGTACAGTGGCACATTAGGTCTCACACGAAAACAAAATAAAGTGTGCGGTATCCACACAATTTTACTGGACTTTTTCTAGTTTTATTTATCAACAATTTTGTATATGCATTTACAAAATGAAATAAGGTTCTGAGTAGTTTCTTTCTGCATTAAATGTTAGCATTTCAATTCACTGTTGAAGCTGAAGAATGATAATTTGGATTACATATTCATGTAAATCATGAGCTAAAACATATCACGTTTAGCATACATGTGTCTCTTATCTTATAGTTGGATATTACAAATTATACGATATCGTTACGCCATCCTTAAGCGTAATATCCTCTTATAGGTTCAACCATTATAGGTGTAAAAAATTATGATACCCGATAGGATTTAAGGTTTATACTACCCAAATTATAGAAGTTACTCGAAAATAGCTTTGTGTTGAATTTTTGTATTTAAAAAAATCAGTTTTCCCATAAAAAATATTATGCTAGTACGTTTTTTTTTTTTTTCATATTAAAAATATTTATTGCAATCATTTAAGTGTCGTTTTTGGGGACAAGGATAAAAATGACCATAATTTAAATTTAGAAAGGTACAATTTTACGGAATATATGTAATTATGTGAATGTATTATTTAAAATAATTTATTTCATCATTTTCAATATCGTTCACGTGATTCTGAGCGAGTTCTCCTGTCTCTAGAAAAACTTCGAGGTGTCCGGGAACGCCTTGGTGAACGAGATCTGAAAAATGCCCACATATAGTTAGTTTATAAAACATTGAATAAGTTTCAATGTACTCGACGGCAAGCCGAATAATCAAGACATTTCAATTTCTCAAAATCTTTTTCATACTTTTAACCAGATCTAAGCAATATGTGTATATTTGCAAAACTAGGTCACCTACATTTTTGAACCATTGCGATGTGTAGATTTGATAATTTTTAAATTCCATATCTGAGTAGTGGATTATTTTAAAACAATTGCCAAAATATTATTTACATATGGGTCTATTACATATTTACAAATGTAAGATGTGTTAATATTGATATTTGGATAGAATCGTCATTGTGGCACATATCTGCCGATTTCTTTGTGTTTTAAGGCTTCCTCAAATTAAATAAACTAGCTAAAAAGATTTTATGCATATATATGAACTGAGCAAGCAGACGATTTTTAATAGATTGAACTATACCCATTCAAGAATTTTATGCTAAAAAGCCGCACTTCTTAGGTCTATATTACGAGAGATACCTTACAGAAAAATATAATTAAAATTATATTATGAATCTGTAATACTTTCCTATCTCTAAGTTACTTAGCGTATCTATCCTTATTAACATCATTGCAAACTAACGTATATGTCATAAGTAATCCAATTTAGTTAAGATTTTCAAATATCATTACCGATATCATTTTTTATTTTCAATACCTAATTTAAGTAAATGTATACACTTAGTAATTATAATTTACCACAGTTATAGATATATATCACATTGTCCTAAGCTTCGTCTTAGACTTCTTAATCCCTAACTATTGATAATTTATGATAAAAAGGCTTTTTTACGTTAAAATAATGCTAATAAATCGTCTAATGTGGCAGATGAATGAAAAGCAATTAGAATTAATAATTGAAGTATCATCTATTATGGGTAGCGTGTTTCTGTTGTTGTGCTGATATACTGATGATTTCAAAAATTTTGTTTTATATAGACATCGGAAGTTCTGGATCGGCGATCATTTGTTGGTTGATTTTGTGCTTGTGAACATTATGGTAGAGAAGATTTGAAGAATCGCAAAGATGTTTTTGTTGTTCTTGTTGCTGAAGGAGGAGGTAGTTGAAGAGTAGAAGGATTGAGCCTGTAAGAATGTCGACTTTAGCAATATTTTAACAACTACTCGACGTCATAACAATACAAAATCAAACTAATTATTTAAGTGCACTAGTCGGAAGTACCGAGCTAGGGTATACCCCGAACCTTCCGCAAATCTTCTGTTTAAACTTTAAAGCATGATCGGCTTTCTATGCAACTATGTATATAAAAATTCAGATAAACGTGGTCACTGCGATGCAAGGTTGAAAATTAGGAAATTTATGAAACATGTATATATCAAATAGCAAGGGATATCAATTTTAAATTCATATGAATATTGGAAACAGATATTAAAATGTGAAACTAGTCAGTCTGAGTACTTTTGTTTTGCTTAAACATTTGTCATCGTTCAAAGCCCACGTTAAAAAGCTAAGTGATTTATATTATTAGAAACATTAATAATTTCAATTGAGCTCGACTTCGCGATTAAAAATTTATATACATATCATGCTTATTAATATAAGTATTTGCACAAAATGTTCATAATTATATAGGATGTAATGAGTTCAATACTTTTTGTTCAAGTAATTTTATAAAGATATATACTTTGATAGCATCTTGAACAAAAATATTTAATAGGCAGATTGATATTAATAGGACTATTATTTGTGTCCTATTAAATACAATTTGACAATAATTTACCTAAGTCGTCCTCCACTGCGTCCTCGACTACTGGAACTACCTTCAGCAGCGCCACGCCGAGATCGATCACGGGAACGTCCGGAAGACATTTCTACACGGATTCGAGTGCCACAACAACGCGTTCCATCTAGTGCTCGGGTAGCATCCTCCGCGTCCCTTCGATCTTCGAACTCAACGAATGCAAAGCCAGGAGGATTGCGTGCTATCCATACGTTTTTCAATGGACCATATTTGCTAAAGGCATTCTCGATCTCATATTTTGATGCCGATGATCCTAAGTTTCCAACATACACTTTACAGGCCAAATCCCATTCACGATAACGCGTCATATTGCTTGATTAAAAAAAAATATAAATGCAAATAGTTAAATTAGCAACAGCAAAAAGTACTTATCACACATAGGGTACTAGATCAATTCATAATATGCCTAATTTAGAGAAATTCAGTACTCAATTTGATATGTATGTCAAAATAATTGATGCCTTCGAGCACATATGTACATATGTATCTATATGTACATATTTTAAAATTATTTAAAGACAAGAATAAGACCATATAGGTACTTGTAACACACTGCAGTAGTTTTATAGATATACATTTGAATTAGGTAATATAAAACAAGATAAAATAATAATAATCACAAAAACGAACTACATAGGTCCATAAACACAATATATGTACATGTACATATGTACATATATGTAGTTTACAAAAGAATGGCTACCAAGTGTAGCAGATAAGGTTTTTATTTTAAATGGGATATCTGTATACATATGTATATGTACAGTATTGTAATTAGACTAAGTAAATGTGTTTTAATCACGATACTATGGTAAGTTTCTCACCAATCAACAATTAAAAATCACGAAAAATAACATACAATTTTCAGCCAAGATGCCAGACTGTCACTATTAGTGTGACCGTAGATAATAATAAAAAATTTACTAATTTTGCAATATTATAAAATAGTTTTTACTGTGTGTTTTAAATATATAAGCAACTTCGTTTTTTCTTTTACGTAAGTATTCTTATAGAGAATTGTAATTGTTATATGAATTTCACATGAAGATCATGTATAATTGCAGCCCTCGTTAAAAAAATATCGAATGTACTTCGATATATATATATAGCAAACCTAATGAAGAATCAGCTGGGAAAATTTCATAACCTGGCATCGTGAGGTCTGTGCTTGTTTAAATTGAAAAACCTAAAAGAAAAATGAGGCTTACAAATAAGCTATATGCACAGCATATTGGATGGCATTTCAAAAAGCACTGGCAGGTGCAAGGCAGACGCGTGCCCAGGGAAACAGGTGCTGCTGCTGAGCTTTTAAAGATGGGAATTCAAGTTAAAACGCCTGACGAACTGTTGAATGATAAAAAAGAGTTCCGGCTGTAAGTAGAATTGATTCATGGAATTGATACCTATTATTAAAAAACGTATATGCGCGTAGGGTTGATATTGTTGAAACAGTACCGAAGCCAATCGTAGAGGACGAAACTCATCCAAATTGGCATACAACTGCGTGTCATATGTTTAAGGATAACAACGTTCTACTTGGAGGATTGCCACAAGCGCAGGTTCTTACAAATACCATAGAGATAAATAGCTTCCCACAACAAATAGAGGACGCTATTTCAAATGGCCAGTATTCCAAGGTCGTGGATCGTAATGTTCAAAATGCAATTTTCTCATCCCATTTGCTGGATGCGCAGCAAGTAAAATTGCCAAAGGTAAAACTGATTGACAGACCGGCATATAACCTACCTCGCCTCTACGGGATCTCTCACGAAAGACGAAAGTACGTACCACACATTTGTGAAATATTTAAATTTATGTATTTTCTCAATATGTAAGCAAGGAAGAAACCGTACTTTCAGTTATTTCACCCGTGTTAAGACTTCATATATTACATACATACAAGCACCTTAGCTCTTCACTTGTTTCTTCATAACCAAAGCACACTTTTCCTTGCCATTTTATATGGGTTTTCGATTAAAAACGCATAATCAAAAACCAATTTGCAGTACTTAAACAAGTATCTATATGTATTATATGTAAGCCTGTCGGAATTCACCTACAACTGTACTGTATACCATAGGAAATTTTTTATTTTTCCACTTAGTTCTTAAAACGATTATCTGCGATGCCGAAGCTTATGAGCTATAAGTTCTGTGTGAAAAGTCTCAAAATTGAAGACCGATTTTTAAATCTTTTAGTAGTTTGATATAATATGAATTCTTTCTTCTGCAGTCGCCTCATTATAAACAAGCTTTTGTTTGAAATCGAGAAATTAGCTGGAAGATCTGTAACTGTTCGACGAAAGCTAATGGATAATGTAACATTTCAAACATTAATATCCAAAGATAATGATTTGCTAAGCTTTATACTTAGCGGAGATAAATTAATAAGCTCTTCTCGCGCATTGGACGCTGTCAAGGGGAAATTCAACGGGGAATTGCCCGATTTATATCCTATGAAATGTGTAGTTTCAATCCCGAAGCGGCATATTTATACGGAAAACAACTTCTATCGTAAGTGAATTTGATGTATTTCAATGAATGATTATGTAACAATATTCTTTTTTAAACATAGCTATTCGATCTGAAATAAGCTGCTCACATCCCCATACAATTGTGTCTTTCTTTGATAAAACAATTGTGGGCAACATACACGGATCCGATGTATCAAAAACTCAATTCTATGGACGTTCTATGCTTAAAGCTTTTGTGGCAGCTGCTGCTCGTGCTAAACAAATTAACGGAGTCACTTTCTGCTCGGATCTACAAAAACCTATTGTTATACAATGCGTTCATACCGACGGACGAGAATTTCATTTTGGAGTATTTCAACTTAACACGCTTAATTTAGACTCGAATAATACAACGAAAAACTATTGGTTCCATCGAGGCAGTATAGAAATGTTTAATGATTGTTCTTATAAAACTGGTAGACCATACATCGATGGGTATAACAGCGAACCTTTTCGTATTTTAAATGCGTTTTATAATAGTTCTTAATAAGTACAATTTTTCATTCAATCAAATAAAGTTTGTTATACTAAGATTGTATCAAGTTATATATATTTCAATCCTATTTATTTTATTTTTATTTTGCTTACATTTAAATGGGAGTGATAATTAGTTGGCGGAAATAAATGTTCGTTAGTTTGTATGCAACTTTTACCTATCTTTTTTTGTAAACTAATCTATTTCTTCCCTGTACATTGAAAATTGGAATTCAGTGTATAATGAAATTGCATGACATGAAGTATATTCATATGTGTATTTTTGGTTTTTAGGTCATCTGAGATAATAATACGAACAGTGCACTTTAAGTTGGCATAGATAGTTGTGCGTTTCCGACAAGTACTCCCACATGCTAGCCTACAGTATAATAAAAATTACCAATACTATCCGCATACTTTGAAAGCTGGTTCCATGGCAACGGGAAATTGTTTTTCATCGATATTGGTGGTGATAAGGTCAGCACCCAATTTATTTGGGGTTGTAAAAGGCTTTGCAAAAAATAAAAAGTCTGCAATATGAGAAACTTACAGATACAAGCGCAAACTAGCATCAACAACAGTGCAACATCGTCCGCAAATAGTGAGACTCAAAGTGTAGAGGACCATCAATCGGTTTTGCCACCAGTCAATCGAAGTGCTGCTCTAATCAGGTGAGCTGTGAATGTAAGCCACGGCATAGCAAGGTTTCAACTACATTGATCTAAGAAGACATCTTATTATTAAAAAATATTAAAAGCGGAAGAGATTTGTTAAAGTGTTAAAGTAATTCTGAACTATTATCTTAAAAGATTAAGGAGCAAGAAAAGGTATCTGTAAAAGAATAATAGTCTCTATAAACGAGCCAGTGAGCTTTGTCTACTTTTATTTGTATTTGTCTTTTAATAACATATTACAAGGATTGCTTCTATTCCATTCATTTAGAGCGAAAACTAGCTGGAAACGAATGAAAGATCTTGCCTCAGAGAAAGAAAAAGAAAATGAAGCCAAGCGACCTCCTTGGCGTGCCGTTAGCGTATCAACTCTTCCAAAACCGGATAAGAATGCATTACTTCGTGCTAAATTACTCGATGCGTCCAGGTTTGCATGAAAGACACTTCTATTACCTTTTAAACTTGATTTCGATTTTGTGCAAACTGGACATGTAGGCGTTTAAGGGCCGGCAAATCAAATGTGTCCGTTCAAACCGATTTCATTCCCGTCAAGTTGATGAAGGAAGCCACAACAAGTGCGCAAGATGATTTGATCTTACTGAGAGACATTGGTATATTAACGGATGGCCAATATTCGATTAAAAAGGATGGGTATCAGCAATGTAAGCTTGAAAGTGTATTACCAATTTACTTTACGTAGCATTGAAAGGTTTTTTTGTGTTGCAGATGTACTAACATATTCTGTGTCCCAGATGACCGACTGCATTAGGAAAGCAAATGTCTCAACACAAACGCTTTTGCCAAAAGCATTCCAGAGAAGCGTCAGTAATCCGTGTCTATTAGAATTTGACAGTAATGAATCTCATCGTAAACAACCGCATCAAATTAACCATATGCTGCGCGACTCTACCTTAGCCTCGTGGCATTTTGATGACGACGCTCTTGAAATGGATGTCACGCAGCATTTTATTCCGTATACTATTGAGCCTCTTAAGCCATGGCGCAGTTTCGTACCAATTCCATTTTATTTAAGAGGCAACAGCATGGTCGGCAGGCAGAAGGTCGATTGGTATTTTCTTCTTCAGTCCATTGATGATCTCATTCGAGAATCAAATAATTTACTGGATGGGCTGCAAAAAGTAATACAAAATAATATAAATATTCAACATCAGCGGGTGCATAAAACTTTGGATGAGATAAGAAAGTTTCATCCAAGTGAATTCCAATTCCCTTCTGATTATTGGTTGCCCATAATTCAGAAACAAGAAGTGCAGCTACAATTACTTCTCAACTCAAAATAAAGCAACAATTTATACTTAAATAAAAGGAGAATTAGTCTCTCTGAGTAAACAAATTAGAAACACTACACTCAAATACGGTCTTTTGGAAAGCCGGTTACAATTAGAATCAGTTACTTTACTATTTCTATAGATTCGCTAAATGTAAAGTGACAAATTTGTTTGATGCACTTGTTGTTTCATATATGTTAGAATATATTTTTCTTCGAATTCATTTTTATACTCATTCACGAAAATGAATTATTATACTCATTCACAAAAGTGAATTAATATATTGGTTTTGTGCAATGTTCGTTTTGCTGTCCGTCCGTCTGTCTGTCTGTCCGTATGAACGCAATCTATTGCGGCGCTATTGAAGCTAGAGACTTGAAATTTGGAACACATACTCGTGTATATTTCCGATTTATAAAGTGTTAAAACTAGGGGCGTGGCAAATCGGAAAATGCATTTTCCGATATACCAGAAATCATGTTTGTTGAAGAGCTAGAAAGCTGAAATTTGGTATGTAGGTCCGCGCCGATCACCCAAGATCACAAGCTATGGCGGATATATCTCCGCCCATTAGGGGCGTGGCAAATCGGA